AGCTGGACTTACATTGAACAAAGTAGATCATGCTAGGTTTTGCCTACAGAACATCTGCTTTTACAACGTCTTTCCATTATTTATGAAAACTCTGGGTTCAGTTTTGTGTTTTGAGTGCTGCCAACTACTACATGACAACAGTTTTGTCGTATTTTTTTAACTCCATCAGGAACCTACTGCAGAAAGTTGTAATGGGCTATGATTGTAATGCCATTGGTATTTGGATTATTAATGTACATTATTTTTATTTTCATACCAAGAAATGTGATGGTGTCCAATAAACTGGAGAGGAGTTGCTCATCTCCAGTTTATTGGACACCATCACATTTCTTGGTATGAAAAGAAAAATAATTTGAAGTGATATCCCAATAAAAGCTGAAGTTAGCAAAGGGTGGGATGTCAGAGAAATATGAATGGGTTTGTGTTCTTTTGAAGGAACAGATTCTTATTTTGGTGTTTTGGTTTATCAACTAGATCAGTTTCGGCTATAGAATCAGGATGCCTCCTACAGGAATACTGGGTTCTGAGCATTTCTAGCCATACCTTTTTTCATGTTGATTACAAACTCTGGGATTTATTGTCCTGCTTATTTGAAAGGGAATGGGTATATTAACAATGCAAAATGGATGGAATCAAGATTTTAAAATAGTTTTCTTTTTTCTTTTTCTTTTGTGGGGATGAGTGGGCAAAAAAGTTCCAATGTCAACTGAACATTCACCTGTTAAATCCGTTGTATCAAAATATGTATTTGAATTCATTTTAAAAGCTTTTTTACATGTCCATATGATAAAGGATCCCTTCATTTTGTTCCCATTTCCAATGAATACCTCTAGTTAATTTCTCTGGCATCATGCTCCAGGTTTGCTGCTATCTAATGAGGAAGTAGTATTTTATTATCAGAAGATCTCTGCCATTCTGAAAATGGCAAAACTTTCAGAAATTGCCAAAGTGTTATGGGTAAGAGCATTTCAGTTAAATTCCCATTCTTTTCCATGAGAAACTAAATGTGTGGAGGGATTATAAAGACATAAAATAATAATCATGACAATAAAAGTGGATAAGGTAACTATAATTTCTCATTTATGGTAAGGAAGAGTTTTAATGAATTGAGTCAGCTTTTTTCATTGCTGTTAATTTTTAACAATTATCTGAAACACCTTCCAAGCTCTGACTAAGGATAATTAGTGAAACTCAGAAATACTTACCTATAATACCTGCAAGAGAAATAACCTTGAATTTAAGGTAAATTTCCCTAAAACTTTAGACAGAAAAAAGGCTATATCCACTTACAGAAATACTGTACACTACCCAGGTTCCCCACCATCACATGTTGCCATCTGGAGTTGCCCATTCCTGATGAACCCAGTTTAGAGATTCCATCCTCACAATAAAATGGCTGCATAAACTTCACTTGTATATGTACAGTATATCTGCATGCATTTATATGCATGGGCCAGAGACCACCATGCCAAAAAAGATAGAACCAAGCCAAAACTGTAACATTACTTACTGAACATTAATTGAAATTAAATCTGTCAGATAAGGTATCCTAACATAAATCAATCCATTCCTTGGCATGTATGCACACAAGCAAACTATTCTGTTGCAGAGAGACTACTTTTGAACGCATATCTACAAGTACATACAGCACATGCACACACTACAAAAATCTGTTTAGCCCAAGTTATTCCTTGTAAACACTCGAGAAGAGATCCCTGGGGCATTGTACTGTCTTTTCTTACAAGAGGGAAGTAGATTGATCCATGCCTTAATGGAAGGAAGGTCTACAGACTCTCACCCTTATGTGTGAAGAAGGAAATCAGGAGTAAGATACTCTTCTCAGTCCTACTCAGAGAAGGGATAACCGTGACTTCTATTTTATTTATTTATTTATTGATTTGATTTGATTTGATTTGCCAATTGTTTACAAGATAATAAGTATAAGTGTATACATAGTTGTGAATACATGAAATGGGTACATATAAGAAAAATAAAAGAATAAGAGAAACAATAGGACAGGGACAGTAGGCACATTGGTGCGCTTATGCACGCCCCCTACAGACCTCTTAGGAAAGGGGTGAGGTTCTCTCTGTCCCCAAAGTCTTTTGCTTTTATTATTTGCAACTCCTTAGCCATTCAACTCTCTTTCAGCCATCCTGTTTTCAGGCTGTTCTTTTGGAGGAAAATTAACCTTGTAAATACTGTCTGCACTTGTGATGTATTTATAGCAGGTCATGAAAGCACTTTTGTTCACAGCTATTTGTTGGTCATTTTGACCTAACACCTTTTGTTTTTCACATGGGGAAAGTGAAGAATGTCCCGCTAGGCCCTTGTGAAAGAGAAACAGATCTTCTTAAAGAAGAAAATGTGAAAAGCCACTAATTAGGCTATTTTTGTTTATGGATCGTAGTCAATGGGTCTTGCATGAATGCTGTCACTCTTTATATTTGTTGCTAAAAAATAATAGTTCCTCAGCTTGAGTTACAACAAAATGGGGTGAATAAGGAAGGGCACTAGAAGAGGCTGGGGATAATGGAGAAAGATTCCTGTAGCCAGATGTGCCCCATTCCTTCTGCAGCAATAGGTTTGGCAGATGTTGCCCCTACTGATTGGGAATATGCAAGAGAGGGAGAATGTTTTTGAGGATAATGTATAAAAAGGGGCTTTGCTCACTGTTTGGGTTTTTGGAAGGATCCGAGGATGATTATTATTGCATTGGTAGAAGTCAATATGTTAAACTGTATAGCATGTATTATTATTTATTAATAATAAAATAATTGTAAAATAATAATAAAATATATTTAAAATATGCTTGTATGTAATTTTTTTATACCTTTGAGTGAATGTTGACTCTTGGTGATTGCCTGCATGCATCCCTGCAGAGTTTGTTTTGGCAAGATTTTCAGAAGTGACTTGCCTCCTTCTTTGTGCCTAGAATAGGACTGGAATTGATAGTCTCCTGGTCTCTAATTCAGTATCTGATCTTTAACCCAGCGCCTTTAACCCTTATTTTAAGTTGGCTTTCAGATAGACGGATGGATGGATGGAGAGACAGAGAGAAGATAGATAGATAAATAAATAGATAGATAGATAGATAGATATAGATAGATAGATAGATAGATAGATAGATAGATAGATAGATAGATATAGGTATATGTGCCCATATTAAATTCCATTTTAAACTAGGTTCTTTAGCCAAATTGCTAAGTTAATGATTACTTTTTTAATACCATAGCAAGTTCAGATTCCAAGGTTTACTCTCTTCAATCTGCACATCCCATATTATAACAAGGTGGAGTGGGGTGTAATGGGGTGGAGTGGGGTGTAATTATCCTGATTTTCAGTTGTACTCTTGGGTGCACATATTCTGTTTTGTATTTTTTAATGAATGAAAAGGAGATAGAATGATTACCACTATTGTTATAATTAAGCAGTCATTATCTGTAACACATTGAAATCACGGGAAGTATTTGGTTATAGTGGAAGCAGAAGTTTTATTGCATGCCCAGTAATACAGATAGCTGGGCTTCTTTGGAAATTATTGGGAAAGAAATTAATATTTGACTCTTGTTCTCAAGAGAATGTTATCCCTTGAAAATGGGGGGTAAAGTTTTCTTCTGGTAAAGATGGGTTGAGAGAACATCTTATTAATGATTAAAACAATGCAGTATAATTTTTAAAAAGAAGACAACAGATGCGGTGGTGGGATTCAAATTTTTTTACTACCGGTTCTGTGGGCATGGCTTGGTGGACGTGGCAGGGGAAGGGCACTGTAAAATCTCCAGTCAGAGGTGGTATTTGCCAGTTTTCTGAACTACTCAAAATTTCCACTACCAAAACTGGTCAGAACCTGCTGAATATACCTCTGCAAGAGCGCCATTTACCTAGCATGAGCTGTACTTGCAAATTAAAGGGTTACCACTGAGTCAGAACCGACACAATAGATAAAACACAGGCAATGGAGCTCACAGATTTCTTGCCCATATAATTTTCTGTTGATCAGAGGATGAGTAGATAGTGGATATTTGCATATTAGTTTTTATTCATTGAAATCTGTAACAGGATACAACTGCTGCATGGATTTCAATATTGCATTGCTCAGCAAGCCACTTTCTCTACCCAATTTGATTACTACAAGGGATTTTAGATACTGCAAAATGCAGGTATCCTCAAGCAAAACAAATGCTGAGCGATGCTTCCTGATCCCAAAGACTGTTCAATGTTTGAGAATAATTTGTCTTCGCCTCCCAAGACCTGTAGTTATGGAATCAGCAAACAGTTAACTCAGGGGAAATAATAACTGAGCAATGCATGCAATGAATGGCAATATTGAGATACTCATATTTTCCATAACCATATCTGAAAGGAGATTGTATACATGTATGATTATCTTCCATTTAAACAAAAAATTAGGTTTGGACAGCAAACTATGTAAAAATGGACGACCATGATTCCCAGGAGGTCAGAATACTTTCCCCACAAACAAAGACTATTCATTCTAGAACTTTTTAGTCTGGATAAAATAAAATTTCCCCTAAACTAAAAAGGATTGCTTAGATGGTTTCTGAAAGATACAGAAAAAATGATTTTAAGAAAAAGGAAAGTTGAGGATTAATATAGCACTGTAAAATTTCTCTCATAATTAGCCAAAGTATAATTTCTGTTTTTTTAAACGTATAATGGTGAATTTAAAAAAAACCCATTATCAATTTTGACATAGTTCAGGTAGAACATTCCAGTATTTCCAAATACGGACCTGTCAGAATGAACTTTTTTACAAGGTCAATAACACCAGGGTTAGTGATTCATGCTAAATTATACTCCAGTCATTAAAAGAGTTAACTTCCTTTTACAACTCTGTGAGGACATCTGTGGGGTGCTCAGGTGGGTAATCTGAACTAAGAAAGCCTTATATAAACTGGGGCTTTCCATTCCTGGACCAAATCAGAATCTTCTTCATCAAGACTTTCATCTGCAAGCTTTTCATTGCCGTCCCGCAGAAAATGAGTTTCACTGGAAAATATGAGATGGAAAATGAAGAAAACTATGACAACTTTATGAAGCGCCTAGGTGCGTGTGTACATTTTTTTCTCTTTCATTAATTAGATGTTTCTTTGGCTAGATAAAGAGAGTTCTTGCCCTGGGCATTTCAAGAGAAAAACTTTGTTTTTGTATTAACTTTGTCTAGTTAGTAAAATAGCGTGCAAGCTTTCAGGATTTTAATGGTATGGGGTTTTTTGGGGTGTCGGTATTGGATGAGGGCAAAATGTACATCAGTGCTGTAGAATCCCACAGTGTCTGTAGGAATTTTTCTGACAGTTCAGATTTTTGTAATTCAAAAACTTGCACCATCTTCTTTTTCAGATACATTAGACTGAGTTATGAGAAAGCTTTCATCAGCAGGCAGGAAAGACTGCAGATAGGTATTGTGGCTACTGGTTGGACAGTTCCTTTTTTATACACTTATAATCATGAAATGTAACAAGTTGGCTCTACCAAATCAATACCTTTAGGGACAAACTTCCCATATAAGAAAGGTGACTTTTCATTACTATCTATAAATATGAATTCAAGATAAATGTAAACTCAAAATAAAAAACACTAACTTAAAAAAAACACTAATTAAACAGCAGCACTTTTATGGACCCTTATAAACAATTAACAGATGCAGTGTTGATTAATAACTGATTTTTATTCCCTCTCTGTTAGGTCTTCCTCATGATACAATTGAAAAAGGAAGAAATTTCAAGATCATTACTGAAATAGCACAGAATAATGATGAATTCACTTGGTCTCAGATTTATCCAGGAGGGCATACTTTGACTAATACGTTCGTTATTGGCAAGGAATCAGAAATGGAGACAGTAGGAGGCAAAAAATTCAAGGTAAACAATTGCTTGGCACCATGACCTCCATCTTGCAGATTTGGACGACCCTGTTCCTTGATGTTCCTGGTCCAGATCTTAAGTGTTTATGAAATTTGAAACATGAGCAACAATTGTTAGGGTTCCAAATTTGGAATCTTGTGCGTTTGAATTCTCTTTTTTTACCCATCCACCCATCCTCATCACTTCAGACCCTATTGACAGAAAGTTATTTCTTGGCCTTGATAAAAATGCTATCTGCAGATCCTTTGGCCAGCAGAAAAATATATCGGTACAACACTGGCAACCCTCACTGCCACTCCATATTTTATCATAAGCACCATGCCAGGAAATGGGGCAGCCTGTACACCTATAAGGTACTCTTAAGAACAGGGATTAGTGAATTTGATTGTCCAAAGGCAAGTGGTCCTGGAAACCTGTACCCATGCAATGGAGGGATGGGGTGTCCCTGCAGAAGTGGCCTAAAGATGCCACAATGGTCTCATTCTCATAAATCAGCTGAATGTAGTGATATGCCAATAAATGTATAACAACTGGGTCTGGTGGGTCCTTTATCGCTTCCCTGCTAGCCAACAAAATGGGCATTGTGGATCAGCTCTGCTCTCAACCAACTTGCAAAATTCCCAGAAAATGAAACAATCAGTTTTTATGTGCCAGCTCCAGCACACTGTGACTGTGACACAAACTTGAATTGTATTAGATTGTAAACATGGCAAATTACCCCAGCTTGTTGCCTACTTAAAGAGGAAAATACTACATATCTATGCTGGAAGAGCATAGATGACTTTAAGTTGCTGTAGAAATAGGTTGGGGTGAGATGAGGGATATCATGAAATCATGTCAGAAAAAAAGAGGTTGCTAGGATATATTTGCGCTATGGAGTAGCTGCAGCTTTGGTGCAACATTTCTGTTTCTTTAACACACTGTTGGATCCCAATTTATTTATACTGTACTCAATGTAGTCTGTATGAAACAAATTGAACTTTGGAGGTCCAGTGCCAGTGATTTTTATGGCTATTATTAAATCCAGTCCAGTTTGTATAATTAATTTGCATTTGTTCTTTCCAGTAGTGGTCAAAAAGCTCTCCTAAAGCAAGAGTGGATTATGGATTTGGATTAGGATGCCCATAGGTCTGCCTCAGATATGGATAATTAATGACCTGTATAAAATCCCGGGTTGCAGAAAGTAACGCTACTGACTCCCTATGTTGGAGACCAGATTGGTGCTTCCCCCACTAATGACAATAGAAAACCAATTATAAGTAGGAGAACTAGAAGGAAGACAACTTGACTGACCAAGTTGTTCCATGATTCCTTATTTAATGTGGCTTATTTCTCACAGGGGAAACTATAATTTGCAAGAAGGTTAATGCATAGCTAGCAGAGATTGCTTTCCACATCTTCCTAGGGACTGCTCAAATCAGTAATAGAAAGCAAGGTTATACTTCTCACACCTTTCTCCAGCATTGGATGAAATCATTGATTTCCTATAGTTTGCTAGGTGGAAAAAAGGATCAATATGATCTTGAGAAAAGAGAAGTGCTCGAATGATAACCAATAAGCTATTATGTGCCTTTTGAAGACATCCTATCTGAATCTACATCCTTCCTACCTTTTACCCAGTTGCAGAAGTTAGCATTACCTGTAGAGCACCATGGAGGAATCTACAAATTTAAATAACTCTAGAAATATAGTGGAAGAACTTAGAAAACACCAGTGACTTGGAAACAACTTCCTGCTATTATATAAAAGCGATAACAGTTGGAATAAATGTAGCAGATATGAAAGTTAAGTAAGTCAAAACAAAGTTAGCAGATGAGTATGATAAAAAAGAAAGCTGGGAATAAGTTAGCAGATATCAAACCTACAGGCTGTACATACTACATACTGAAAAAATACTGTATACCAAAAATATGAAAATCGTACATTTAATTTTGAATAGCTCTGTTTTTTCCCAAAATGATAGCTTTCCAAGTAGAGAGAATAGCGGCACCTCTGTTCATTTTTCTTCAAGTTCCAATTCATGTAGCACTGTCTCCTGTAAAAGAGGCAACAATAAAGAGGAAAAAAGTAGTTTCATTTATCACCACCTCACTATTCTGAGATACTTGTAATCTTTTCAAAAAAAAAAAAAACCAACAACCCCAGGAGGTATGGTTTTGGAGAAGGAATGTGTAGACTAAAATACACAAGTCGATCCTCAGTCATAGAAATTAATGTAGTGAATTTGGGCCAGTCTTCGTTCTTTCAACTCATTTTCATAAGACTATAAAGATTCTTATAAATTCTTGGTCTGGAGTTCCAAGGAACCTTTTTGTGACCAAATATTCTAGGATATAAGCGGTTATAATACAATAATAGAAAAAAAAATTGAGGCTCTATATGTAGCTTCAGTACAGATCAGTGGTGGGATTCAATTTTTTTTACTACCGGTTCTATGAGGGTGACTTGGTGGGCGTGGCATGGCATGGCTTGGTGGGCATGCCAGGAGAAGGACACTTCAAAATCCCCATTCCGTCTCCATCTCACTAACCTGCTTTCCAGCTCTGTTCTCTTGTGTAGGGCAACAAAAGAAAACCCATCTGATCAGCTGGGACTTGGTAGGCAGAGAATAGATGGGGGCGGGGCCAGTCAGAGGTGGTATTTGCCAGTTCTCCGAACTACTCAAAATTTCTGATACCGGTTCTCCAGAACTGGTCAGGACCTGCTGAATACCACCTCTGGTACAGATAATCCTCGACTTACAACTGTTTAGTGACCATTCAAAGTCACAATGGCACAGAAAAAAGTGACTTATGACTGTTTTTCACAGTTACAACCTTTGCAGCATCCCTATGATCATGTAATCAAAATTCAGAAGCTTAGCAACTGGTTCATATTTCTGACTGTTGTTGTGTCCCAAGATCATGTGAATCACCTTTTGCGACCTTCTGACAAGCAAAGTCAATGGGGAAGCCGGATTCACTTAACAATTGGGTTACTAACTTCTCAACTGCAGTGATTTATCTTACAACGGTGGCAAGAAATGTTGTAAAAAAAGGACAAAACTCGCTTAACAAATGTCTAACTTGACAACAGAAAGTTTGGTCTCATTTGTGGTTGTAGCAGGTCAAGGACTATCTGTATACTGATTAACTCTTGAGAGTAGGCTTGGATAAATATAACAAACAACCAATACATCTATCAGTAATTTAAAAATCCAGCCTTTCTTAAAACTTCTTAGTTCCAGCAAATGAGAGTAACAAATAGAGAGTAACAAATCAATGAAAAACCTTCAAATCCTTGCTTTAAATTTTATTTGGTTATACTCAGCTAATATAAGCCACTCACCCCTTTTATGCTAGAAGAAGCAACCTTCTACCATTCATCTCTGCTTACGTATTAGTGTGTTAGGGTTGTATTTTTGTTTTTGATACATGAACATGGTTGCTAAAATAAGACTCCAGCAACTGCCTGAACAAGTGCTAAGTGCTTACTAGGTTATTTCTAGCTATTTTTTTTAGAGTTGTTCTCAGGTATACTTTGCAATCAAAACTATTTTCAGTCCCAGGGAGGATTCCTCCTGCCCAAGAAGATTTCCATCTAAATGCTATTGAATGAACTTCAGTCAACCAGATAACTAACACATGCCAATCTGTTTCAGGCAATAGTTAGAAAAGAAAATGGCAAACTGATTGCTGACTTCCCAAACTACCATTATACTGCAGAAATCGCTGGGGATAAACTTATTGAGGTAAATCTTGAAAAATAACTCTTAGAAGTTGGAACATGTGATGTCAAAAAGACTGACAGAAATATATTAACATGAAAACTAACTCAATATTAATGTCTCTGGAAGGAGCAAGAGTAAAAGGATTGTACAGCATTGCTGATTCCAAGATAAAAAAAGTCCTATAGACAATTGGCTCAATATATTTGCAGTGGGTTTGCGCTGGCTCACCAGTTAAAAGACGCTGAAACATGACAGTCCAGGTTCGAGACCCAAATGCTGCATGACAGAGTGAACTCCTGTTACGTGCCCCAAGTTCCACCCACCTAGCAGTTTGAAAAGATACAAATGCCAGTAGATAAATAGGTACCACTTTGGTGGGAAGGTAACAGCGTTCCGTGAGCCTCGGTGTATTAGTCATGCTGGCCACATGACCATGGAAATGTCTTCAGACAATGTTGGTTCCTTTGGCTAAGAAATGGAGTTGAGCACCGCCCCCTAGAATTTGACATGACTGGACAAGGGAAACCATTACTTTTCTTTATAGTTGCAGTAAATGGATCAGTAAATCAAAGAATAAGGAGAGAGTAAGGAGGACTAAAGTCCATGCTTTGTAGGCACATTCTTTTAAAAATGTGATTGTGATAGTCTCCTTCCATGTACTTAGGGTAGCCAAAGTAGTCTGTCACCTGCTGAAAATAAAAATATAAAAATGCAACATATGAATAAACTATAAAAAATATTTAAAATGTTTGCTATGAACAGAGATAAAAACAGCTGACTTATCAAGAGTTTGTTAAATTTTCTTAAGAAGCTTTATCAAGTCTTGACCTGGATTTACACAAATCCTCTTTTTTTATAATCAGACATTCTAGGAAATAAAGAGACCTGTATGAATTAAGGTGCAGCAATGGAGAAACTGGCGTTCTAAAATGCCTTGATGAATTTGATTCATTTGCTCAGCCATAAAGATCTAATGCAGAATTTCTAAGTCATTAAGAGTTTCAAAAAAAGAAAGCTTTCAGCTGTATATGTCAGGATGAAAACATGGTACTAGTTATAGATTTATTTATGAAAATGTATATGGTCACCCAAATCATTCTCAGTGACTCAAGATAGCTTAAATATATGTAGCAGATATATAGATATTCCTCTATAGATTCAACAAAAAGTATTTTAATTTGTTTAATAAATTTAATTTATTAATTTTTTTAAGGTTTCTACAGTTGCTGATATAACCTTCAAGAGAATCAGTAAGAAGCTGTCATAAGAGATTACTCGGAGAAGAAATAATCCAGTCCTTAGCCATACTGGAAACAAACAAAGTTACAGTATATAAAGTGATAAACCTTTCTTTAAGTCTGTATTTGCTTTGCAAACAAATAAAATAAATCTTTTACTTCCCATATGTAACTGCTCTATTTTTCCTCTATATATCATGTTGGTGGACTCTTGAATTATTATCTAACTATTCCTAATGAAGAGCAAGATTTCAGGCACTGCTGTGTGGAAACCTACTATAACACATGTGATAAAGAGTGAATTAACACTTTTCTTTTTGCCATCATTTTGTGGCTGTTTTCCACCATGCGCTATAGCAAAACCAAGCAAATTACATTTTGGCTTAGTACATTCTGTACTTCCAGCCACAATAGTTCATGAAACATGTTTTGGAGCATAGTGTGATGTGTGATAGCTTTTATAAACCATCTAATACATACGATTATAAACAAATTAGTACAAAAAATTATTTATAGCAATGTGAGCCTGGTTTATCTATATATATAAAACTTAAGAAGAATGACTTGTGGTCATTTTTTAAAAAGTGGTTATTGTACATGTAGTGTTTCAATTAATCATATAACTTGTAAGAAAGCCTTCCGTATTGCTACCTATAGGACACTGACATATTCAATCATAACAGCTACTTTTACAAATCTTACATTTTAAAAACTGTATTTCATTTGCCATATCTAGGTGCTAGCTTGCATTATTCTAATTTCAAAATAGTATCTCAATTGTTCCATGTGTTCCAGCTAGCTTGAGGTCTCATAATGTTTTTTGTGAGTTGTTTTGTGCATGACAAAGAACAGTGAACATGGTGAAGTATTTTTCTCTTCATAATGAATACATGGTCATTGGTGACCATTTGCAAAAAAGTGAATATTGTGATGAGAAGCTGTGATCCTACATAGGGATCACCCACAATATTATTAACAGGTCATATTTTTAAAATTTGTCTTCTATATTCCCATTTTAGTAATCTCAATTTTGTTGTCTTCCATGCATTCAGACTGTGTATAACAAACAAAAGTTTTCTAACATTTCATCATCTAAAAGTTTATCCACTGAAATCTGTATCCTTCTAAAATATTAGTTACTATTATTTTAGTCTATGTTCAAAATAACTTTTAAGATTAGAAAAAGTTATAGCTGGCTTAGCCATTTTAACTCTTTTCTGTGTGGTCTTTTAGTTTCCTCTAGTGTCCATTTGTAAGTTCCTAATAAGGGTTTAATTCTGCTTCAGTTGTTTCCCATTATTAGGTTAGTTATATACTCGCTTTTCAAACCTTATAGCAAAAATAATCAATACGACAAATCTCTTAATCTGTTTAAAACTTTCTTAAATCAAAATGCTTTTTTCTTTTTGCCAATTGTATATTGGTTTAAATTCTTAAGTATTTAACATTTCTGAAATCCAAAGAAGGTAAAACCTGCCAGGTATCACATTAAGCTTGCTGTTTTGATGGCCTTTAATATCCATAAAGTGGTTCAATTAAACATTTCCAAATTTGATTAAAAATGAGCTTCGCTGGTTTAATGTTGTTATTAAAGGCTCTGCAGTTGCTGTGAGCTAAGATGTCATCTTCCTTGGCTCCTGGTGCTCAGACCCATGGGATACCACTGTTGTATGCTTTCCTCTTAGCTGCCATTCACAGCACTCATGGGTGATCTCCCATCTTTCCTTCTCTGGAGAAATACAGAGGATCAGTCCACTTGCCGATCCTTCCTTCTTCACAGTGATTGTTGCCACCACTTGTTCGTGGAGACCTCTTCAGTCTGTCATGACTCACCCTGGAAGCTGAATATGATTTGACTTCTTGAAATTAAAAATGCATACCACAAAGCACAAATAACTAACATCTTGTTACTCAGAGGAATCAGCCAGTGGTTTTCTGCTATCCTTTTGCATTTTCAGAAGACAAGACAAGGCACAGTCCAACACCGCCATCTCCGTGATAGGAAAGCTATGTGTTGAAACTCAGTCTTACATTGTGTCACTTAGCAACCAAGCCTGGGCATGTGTTCCAACTAGTAGCTCAAAACGTGCCAATCCTTTAAACTCCTGCTTTCCTATGTAGATGCTGCCACATTTCCATCTGAAACTAGGGCTTTTTGCTGTCATTCCACAAAGCTGCATGGAATGATTTGCTCTATTGCACCTTTATACAACTACCAGTTTCTCTCCCCCCCCCAAAGGCCCACTTGTCCTCCCTTGAAGATGGTACTCCAACTCAGACAAGAAGTAAGTACTTTGTTTCTGACTGTCTAGACAGTGCACCAAAAAGGAAGCTTCCCAGCTAGCACAAAACAAACACCCTCCTATCACCCTCCCAATCAACTATAACAAAGAAACTCACCATCAGTCTGGAGAAAAACCGCACCACGTCTAATTCTATATTCTGAATACAGGACAATTCCCTTTGTTTTCAGTTTTGAATACACTTGTGCTGATATCTTCTGTGGCTGCTTAGCGCAAATCAAATCTGAAGTTATATTTAATTCCCTCCTATAGTTGTTTCTTGACATTGACAAGCAGTTGAGGCTAAAAATATTATTTAAATCTTTTCAGTGTTGGGAGAGGAAGATTGTTTGAGCAGTCATAATTTTAATGCAAAAAGAAGTTTGCCTTCCCTTGTAGAAAAAAAAAAATCATCAACAGCTTTCAAGAAATGTAAAGAAGATAGAAATTTCTGCCCCAATTAAATGTTTTGAACACTAACTATGGGCCTATGTTTGTGTAGGTTTTCAGAGAAAACTGAATTTTAGAACATGTCTCCAACATGATCCAACTCAAGTAATACATTAGTTTAAGTATGTGTCTGATCCTCTTAAGAAATTCCACTTTTTATATTTGAATATATGAATGCAGAATTTATAAATATACTATCAAATGTGTTGATCGGTATATGTTACACAGGCATCAGGACAAGTGAGGCATCTGTTTGCTAATTACCCCTGGTTAGGAAGGTGCTAGCCAAAAAGCTACCCTTCTCATGACTAAAAAACTGCTAAGTCCCTACTAGAGGTTGATGAAAGTTCAGTGTGCTTTGTCAGATGTTCTCTCACACCTTTCATAGGTAAATAAAATTAACATTAAAATAAAATAAATAAATTCTGGCCCTATCAGCTTCCAATGATTAATATGTTTTATATACTAGAAAAATCCAGTTTGGTCATCATAAAGTGATTTATCAATTATTTATTAATAGGTAATAGTTGAACAGTGCATTTTATTTATTTATTTTATTTATTTTTATTTTTATTTATTTATTTATTTGATTTGCCAATTGTTTACAAGATAATAAGTATAAGTGTATACATAGTTATGAATACATGAAATGGGTACATATAAGAAAAATAAAAGAATAAGAGAAACAATAGGACAGGGACGGTAGGCACGTTGGTGCGCTTATGCACGCCCCCTACAGACCTCTTAGGAAAGGGGTGAGGTCAATAGTAGACAGTCTAAGGTTAAAGTTTTTGGGGTTTGGGGAAGAAACTACAGAGTCGGGTAGAGTATTCCAGACATTGACCACTCTATTGCTGAAGTCGTATTTCCTGCAATCAAGTTTGGTGCGGTTTACTTTGAGTTTGTATCTATTGTGTGCTCTTGTGTTGTTATGGTTGAAGCTGAAGTATTCACTGACAGGTAGGACATTGCAATGTATGATTTTATATACCATGCTTAAGTCAGACCGAAGACGGCGTAATTCAAGGTTTTCTAGTTCTAGAATTTCAAGTCTGGTGGCATAAGGTATTCTACAACGAGTAGAGGAGTGGAGAACTCTTCTTGTGAAATATTTCTGGACTTTCTCAATTGTGCTAATATCAGATACGTAATGTGGGTTCCAGACTGATGAACTGTATTCGAGTATTGGTCTAGCAAATGTTTTGTATGCTCTGGTTAGTAGTGTGATATTACCAGAGAAAAAGCTACGTAGGATTAGGTTAACAACTCTTAATGCCTTTTTGGCTATGTAGTTGCAGTGGGCTCTAGCACTTAGATCATTAGAGGTGAGCATTCCAAGGTCCTTTACAGAGCTTGGGTCATCAACAAGTTCTTGACTATTCAGCTTGTATTTTATTTTCTGATTTTTTTTGCCAATATGTAAGACAGAGCATTTATTTGTTGAGATTTGAAGTTGCCATTTGTTTGACCATTCTGATACATAGTCAAGATCTTTTTGTAGGGTAGCAGTATTGTCTGTGGTATTGAACAGCTTTATATCATCAGCGAAGAGAACGCAATTGCTCTTAATATGATCACAGAGGTCGTTTATGTAGAGTATGAAGAGAGTTGGTCCTAGAACACTGCCTTGGGGGACACCACTATTGACAGGTACTGGATTTGATAGGACGCTTCCGATTTTGACCATTTGTTGTCTGTTTGACAGGAATGCTTCTATCCAGTTATTCAGTTGTCCAGAGATACCATAGGATTTTATTTTTAGGAGTAGTTTGTCGTGTACCACTGAATCAAAGGCTTTACAGAAGTCTATGTAGATTGCGTCTATTGCTTTGCCCTGCTCGAGTTGTGTCGTCCATATGTTTTTGCAGTGTAAGAGTTGTAGATTACAGGATAGTTTTTTTCTGAAACCAAATTGTTTATTGGAGAGTAGGTTATTTGTCTCTAAGTGGAGGATGATGGATTGGTTAATAATTGATTCCATGACTTTACAGGTGACGCAGCATAAGGAGATTGGCCTGTAATTTTCAACTAGGCTTGGGTCTCCCTTTTTGAAGATGGGGATGACTGTGGCTTGTGACCATAGGTTAGGCAAGGAGCTGGTCCTGAAAGATTTTTCAAAGATTATGCTTAGAGGTTTGGCTATGGCAGTGGATAGCTTTCTTAAGAAGTAGGCACATATTCCATCCGGTCCAATAGATAGAGATGGTTTAGTGTGATGTGTAAATCCTGTCACATTCTTTCTCTAGTAGAAACGTATACACAATCCTAGGCTCTTTTCAAATATGAAATACTATGATGTTAGTTCAGAGAATTTATCCAGGTTCACTGTTTGAATTAACTCCTTGATTGATCACCATATTGCCTCCAATCTAATACCCAAGATGTAAGTATGTAGAGACTTCAGCATTAATCTGGTGATGAGGACCCAAATATTATTTTGGTGGGGGGCAGAGTACAAATTGGTAATTTGCCCTTCTCCCTGCCCTGGTGGTAGATGTAATTATGCTACATCATAGCCAGGGACAATTCATAGACTCTGAGGTTCATCTGGTCCGTAACTTATTATGGGGTGTTACATCAATCTAGAGATTTAATTGAAAAGGTGGCTAGGGAAACAATCCAAGCGTTGGAATCAGGGTCCCATGTAAGATTCCTGCTGTTATTACATTTTCAATAAGCTATCCTCTGGCAATAGACTGCTTTATACTCTGTGCTTCTTTCATGTACTAAAATTGTAATGTCACTTCTTCAGATTTTCTCCATATCTTCATTTCTTTTGCTAACATAAAGCATTGCTTTAATTTCCCCTCAGAAAATAACTATTACAGAAAAAAGAAAGAACATAACTGGTTGTGTTCCAAATAATCTCTTGGCAACTCTTCTTTCTGGGAAGCTTAATGCTTGAGATGAAATTCAGGAAATGTATTCCTGCCATCTTCTGGAATTATCTTTTCTAGCTTCTGTGTTTCTTCAAACGCCATGAACCAAATGTTATAGAACAATTCTTTGTTGCATAAAATGATATCAGTTTAGGACCAAAGGCAGAATTTTTGAGAAAAAAAAGCATGAATCCGATAAGATAGGGTTACATCTCCCTGCTTTTTTTTTTTCTTTCAAATCTTTTAAATGAATTGATGATAATAACATTGATATCAAGTGTCTATTGGAATAATATCACATATCTGGAAGCACTTTTATCGTCATTTCATCATCATTTCAATATTATCAGTTGATTATAATTATAATTTCTAGTTACCTTTTCCACATGTTTTTTCACTAATGCCTAACCAAACTGTAAAAAGGCTTCATTTGATAATTGTCCTTTTGCCTTCTTACATTTCTGTCTGCCATAGTTGAATTTACAGCTAGATCTTGGGAAAAGGAAAGCTCTTTGTAATTTGCTTCCATTGCCCCTCAATCTCTCTCTTCTTTGTCTCTTACCAATCTCCATATGCATGAGGACCTATCAGTTTTAGTTTTTGAAAAAGAAGAATGCCACATAAGGGAACATAAATCTCTTCTCAAGTGCCTAGATCAGGGGTGTCAAACTCAATTTCATTGAGGGCCGCATCAGGGTTGTTTGACCTTGGGATGGGGGGGATGGGGGGGGCGTGGCCAGTTTGACACCACTCCTGTCAGGGTCACCTGTGGTGGCCAAGTGCTAAGGCATTATTTGCCTTAGACCCTCCCTCCCTCTCATTATAATCTTCCTTCCTTCTTTTTCCTTCCCTCTTCATTCTCCTTTCTTCTTACTTCCCCTATTTCCGTATTTTTTCTTCCTTGCTCACTTCCCACCTTTCCTTCTTTTTCTTTTTCTTTGCCTTTCCTCTTTCCCTTTCTCCTTTCCTGTCCCTTCTTGCATGCTGAAATGCAAAAGGGGAAACATGCTGAAATGCAAAAGGGGAAACATTTTTTGCTGTTTTGCTTTTAGTTTCTTTTGCTGGCCCTCTGCCAGCAAAATGGAGCGTGGGGGGGGGGCGTGCTTGCCCCCCCAGGGCCTCATTTTTGGCCATGATGGCCTCCATCTCTCTGCCAGCGAAAATGGAACTTGGGCCCTGTTTCTACTGGCAGAGGGCTGCAGGAGGCTGTCGCATCCAAAAATAGGGCCCAGGAGGGCTACAGAGGCTCTGCGGGCCAGTTCTTTGCTGTTTCCAGGGCACACTGTGGGCCAGACCTAAGCACCTTGCGGGCTGAATCTAGCCCACGAGCCTTGGGTTTGACACCCATGGCTTAGATAGAACAAAGTACAGACACTGGGTGTCTGGATTGGCCAGAAACTCAGTCTTCAGTGTTGCTACCAATTGGCTCCAGAAAACCTCACTAGGAACTTCTTTAGATAGGACATAATTTTCCATAAAAATTTTCATAGCTGTCAATTTAGCAATTGTTCCTTTTGTCTCCTGAAAATAGGAACACCATGTAAGCAAAGCTTCCTAGCTCTACAGGATTCAGGAAAGAATACCCATTTCTCTCTCCACTCCCTGCTCATATTCAGGAACTAGTTTTTTATACTAATGAGCTGTTCATTGATATAATGTACAACTGATAGCAACAAGTGTACTCAGGCATCATGAATAGATGCTAACTTCAGTAAGCTAATAAAAAGAACCTGTGTTTGATAATAGTTGCTTTTGAGTAGAAATTCTGAGCTGCAAATAAAACATGAGAGAAGGCTTTGCATTCTATTTAAAAGTGCTCTATTGCAGTGCTGAGATTCCTTTGTTCTCATCAGCTAGAAGTGGAATTTAATTCCTTATTTGCACAATTGAGAACTGCTTCCAGGAAACTAAATTGGAAAGCAACTCAATTATTTTTAATTATAAGTGACTTGGTGAAGTCTTGAATGTCTATTTGCAAAGTGGAGTTAATCAGATGCTAAAACAGGTCAAGAGGTGGCTTTCCTAGGATACATAAGTTGTATAGTGTGCACCTTTGCAATGGCAAGCTTGCACATATTCAGCAACATCAAAAGAAAGCCTGCTTCTTAAATAAATTAGTAGGTTCAAAGGCCTTCTCTTCTATTGTGTTGTGTACTTTCTAGAGCAGCACTGGCCCGAGATCTGTATGTCTTTGAAAACCTGACTGTTCTCCCAGGCCTAGTAAGTTCAGTCTTTCATTTATATTTGGCATGTTGTGTGTGTTTCTTCCTGAAGTGGATGGTCTTATTATTTATTACTTTTTACAGGGCAAACCACTAGAGTCATTGGATAGCTTCTAGATTAATTTAATGTTTGCCTCCTACCACTATGAAACTTATTACAGGTATGGAAGGAACTGGAGACATTTGATTAAAGGGTGTAGTACAGCCTATGAAGATTATGAGCACCCAAAAGGAGACAAGACCATTAACGTTTTGTGCTGTTTATTCAATAAACTTCTTAAAGACAGAAACAGAAAATTTCAATACACAAAAACATCTTTACAGGAAATAATCAGGCCAAATTCTATAAGCTTGAGCTTCTCCAGTGGTTTTTATACAATTAAGTGACTATTGTCTGCTTAAATGTTGTAGTTAAAAAGTTGTATATAAATACATAAAAGGTAACGTACAAGTCCAGCTACAATTTTTGACAAAGATGTTTCTAACACAGAAAGAAAATCCATACAAAAACATTTCCAACTTTGTCTTGCTACATATGTTATCATCAAAAGCGGGAAAGCCCAGTCACTAGACTTTTCAATAAAAGGAAACATTCTTCCCCTACATTAAAAGCAGCATTCCCTTCTTCATTTAGAAATTCTTCACTTTCTCTCTGAAAATCATAACTTAAAGCAAAATGAACAATTAACATTTTACCACTGCATTCTCAACAACACAAACTCTATATATTCGATAGAATAAAAGCATATTGCACATAGTTATTGCAATCCTGAGAAACATTCCATAAAAATACTGTCATTTAGTGACAATAGCTCCACATCAAGTGGCAAATTCACACAGTAGACACCTTCAACATATTTTGAAATTGGAGCCACACAAGTCTAGTACAAAACTTAATCATACAAAATTGTTTAAGGCCATGATTCTAAAGTACGTTTATATAGAAATATTGGAGCACTGGGGCAAGGCAAAATCTGGCAAAGTGTTGTCAAATCTATATTTTTAGAAGAGAATCAGTGGTGGGGGCACGGTACTGTAGCCCACCCATTTCCATCAATTATTTTCTGCTAATGTTTATCTCTCTCCTCTTTTCAAAACTTACAGTACTTCCTAGTTCTGGAGTCCAGCTAGAAAGAACCAAGTCAAGGTGCTAGAGAAGCATTTGTAGATAGAGATTAGCTTTCTTATCATGGTGGTTCATCCCTTGCTTTAAATGCTAATATTCAAAGTGAATTGTTATTTACTTTGTCATGTTGATTTATGTATTGTCTTGAAAATAGCTTGCATGGCAACCTATCTCAATAGTCATTTATAGTATTATTCCAGTTAGTAACTTTTTAGGAATGCAACTTTTCAGTTGTTTGATCACCTTCTATTAACCTTGCATTCTTTATTCTTGAACCCTTTAAGAGTTCTTTCCTTTTTTAAGAGTCCTTCTATGTTTTTGTCTACTTTTCTAAATTCCTAACATCCTACAATAAAAGGCAGCAATTCCCTCAAAAATCAAGGGATTTAACTATTTTTCTTTACAGTGGACTGCTTCAAGTAAACATTAATCCCTGATATAACTTGTAAACCATATTTTCTCAACAAATGACTGTTTGTGATATAAGGCAGCAGCATCTCAAATATCTAGAGGTACTTTAAAAAGGCAATTAAAAATACTATACATATGAAACTCAAGTGGCACTTAACCTACTAAATGTATTCAGAAAGTTCAAAGTGTTTCTCTCCCTATTTTCATGTTTAATATATTGCTGTGCGAATTTTCCAATAAGCAACAAGGAAGTTTCTTCATAAAGTATTCTGCCAGAGAGAGATCGAGAGAGAGAGAGAGAGAGATCAAGGTGAGTGCAACAAACACTGGACTTTTTATCACCAATAGAAGGTTCCAGGCCTAAAAACTACAATCATCCACCTGCAAAACTCATCAGGGAAGCAACTATACACATGTGCCACAGGGAAGTTACCTTACAGCAAAAGTTTGTCTTATGGAAGTAGCTTTTCCAGGTCTTCCTCCCTCAAAATGAAGCCTGGCAAATCAGTGAGGTATATTTTTTTAATTTTTTTTCTTAAAGTCTTGCTTCCTTACAAAGCACACATACTGAGAAATCAAAATTCATTTGTGAGTTGGATCTGTTTTTTGTTCAGCCATTTCGTCATAGAGATCCTGCTGATAGTTACATGGGCGATCTGGTTTGTGTGCTCCTATGTTTTCCTGACAAAACACCCTGCCTCTCTCTGGCTACCTTTTTCCATAGGCGCTCAACCATCAAAACAGCCTGCTGGGTATGAGTGATGCCTGCTGAAGTAGCTGCTGCCATAGACCAATGAGAGGCAATGCCTGGATTCTGTTGAAATGGCTACCTGCATCGCGATTGGCCCTTGGAGAGACATGGTCTGCAAAACAGGTTGGAAATTCTCCTGCAGGGCGGAGTAAGTACTCAGCATACTACTCCCTGAACTGAGACCACTGGATCGAGGAGCTTGCAGGGAGTCCCGATAAGCGGAGCACAGATCCTGTATCGGAGAACAGAACTGTGACAGGACAGCTGCGGGCTGGGGCAGGGGGTGGTACTGTGGCTGTTGGAAGAGAACGTGAGTTGGCGTCTGGAGGTTTAGGCTTTCCATAATTTGCTGCTGCTGCTGTTGCAACAGGCTTAGGGAATCCTTGTCCCGTGTGTCTTCTCTGGGGTCCTTACTGTGAACTTTGCTAGGAGAAAATAAATAAAAAACACAATCAAACCATGTTTTGAAAAGAAATGTGAAACTAATTAACATACGCTGTGCTAAGAAACAAGTATCAACTAGCACTGATGATGTTACCTAGCTTGGGTAATCAAATCTCAGCCAAAAAAAAAAAAGAACAAGCTCAGAGAGCACCAAAGACCCTTCTTGTCACTTCTGAGCTACAAATATTCTCCTTTATTGGCAAGTATCATTTATCAGATTTAACTCAAGGGCAATATTTATAGCTACATTTGTTAACAACATTGGACAAAAGTATTTCCAGCTTCCCAGATACCCTATAGGGCAACAGAACTGGTTAAATCTTTTAACATGTACAATTAGTTTCTATATATATGTTATCTGTAAATCAATTTTATATACAGATGCTAAGAGATTAATAAACTACAAAGTTAGAAATTTCTGTATTACCTAGACAATGGGAAAGTGTCTTAACTTCTATACCTAGTGTGTCAGTGGACCTTAAACTATGACTTATACAACAAAAATATAATTGGACTCCATTACATTTGTATTGAAAACTGTCCAGGAGAGCATTATGTTGGAAATAAAAACACATCTTTTTCCATTACCCTATACTTACCATACTATATTTTGTGAGAAAATAGTGGTGTACTTATAAATCTGACTGTACAACAAACAGCTAATATTTTCAGAGATTAGTATTCTCTTGAATTACATATCTAGTACACAGAATCTGACAAATGGACAACATGAATGAACTCTCTGTGCTATATTACAACTAAAAGATCGACATTACATCATTGGAAAGATGGCTTCATTTATTCAATAGATTCAAGACATAATTACACTTGCTACCTATGAGGGGATTGCTTATAGACATAGACTTTGTAAGGATAAATACAATGAAATATAGGTCTCATTTAGCAAAGTACATTAGATTTTTAAAAAGCATGATTGTAATATATTACATGTAATATAAATATTAGATTATATAAAATTGTAACTGTTGTTACAAGTTACAGTTTATATTTTATTTATTTACATATTTTTAAGTGTGTTACATATTTTTCATAATGTGTTTATCTTTTGCTTTGACCTTTTGGGTTTTTTTCGGTTATAATTTTAAATGCAATTTTCTTTTTTAAAAAATATGAAACTTGGTTGCTGAATAAACAAACTTCCCCATAATAACCCATATGCTGCTGGAGAAAAATTAAAATTCCTGAATATTTTGTGTTTTCAGTAATTTTATAGCTAAATACCATTTACATTCTCTTATTTCAAGTTCAGGAAAGAGAAACTGATGAACTAGAGTTACGGTGTGTTAAGAATTTATTTTAAAAGTTGCCCATCAATTTGCTGATGTGGCAAATATCTATACAGGAATCTATTATATTAACACATAGTATCACCTACTATATTAACACACTGCAAAGGCTTAGGACAATGGGAGCAGGAACTACATCATTCAAGAGGAAGTGTCACTCAGTAAAATCTTGGATCAGGGCAACAACAGTGCCCCTATCTATAGTCCAACATTTTATTTCCGAATGCAAGCATACAGTAAGTCACTGAAGATTAATTACCAATAGCAAATCCTTTTAACTAATTTGCACCTATTTTCCTGGGCTCATGCAACTCCCCTTTGAGACCAGAAAAGGCTATAATTTCTTTGTGGGAGCAGCCAATGGACAAGGAACCCACTCCTGCCTACTTTAGATCCAAACACGGCAATTGTCTGCTCCATAACACTGTATTGGCAGCTCAGGAGAATGGTCTACTTCACTTTGAAACTTACCCAAGCATGAGTTCAATGCAAGGAACAAGATGTTCCCAGGAATAACATGTCAGCAGTTGAAGCTGTGTGGTCCATGGGGGAGACATCTCAAGGTAGACGCGGGAGGCACCCACACAAGCAGCAGCAACCAGAGAAGGCCGAAAAGAGAGAAAAACATGATCTGGGAGTGGGGGGAACAGGGGAAAGAGAAGAAACAAACATATAAGACTGCTGTTTAAACATGAATTCTCTTTGGGACAAAACTGATTAATACTGAGGTGTCATGGCTGTTTGCAAGGAACATCATGAAATCTCTTGGTGTGCTAGATAATATCTCATGGTATGAAAAATGCTCTTAAATAGGCTTCCTTTAATTTATTGCTTCATTTAGACCTCTAACACTGAGAACATGAGCATGCTTACTTAAAAATTAAACCAAATTCCGATGCTGTCCAAACAGTGAGGCTTCTGGAATGCCCTGCAAAGCTAGGACTGCTCCAGAAATGTGTGATATTTTGCAAAAAACCCCACCCCCCACTCTCTTGGCTGAATGGAGGAAAGTTAAAAATGAGAAGGTCTGTCTGAGCTTCTCCCTGAATTCCAATGTTCAGACTGCTGAAAATTTTAAAATTTGCTTTTATGGAGGGTGAGGAAAAGAGTTGACAGCTTCTCAGTTTCCTTTGCAATATTGGAAAACGTTGGAATTACCAATAACATGTTAAATTTATATGCTGCCCAATGCCTAGCAATTCTGCCCCCTCATTTCACACGACATTGACAATCATGTGATGTGGGTAGCTGCACAGGAGAATGAATAGCTGACTTAGTGAGTTGGGTCCTTTGAATACTACCAACAAAATTCATTGTCAAGGAAACATGCAACTGATCACTCTGCTGATACTTTATAACAGGTAAATCACTATTTGGCGCTTTACATTCTTTAATAGCATAGGAAGAACTGATAAAACGTGCTTTTTAACTATCTTCAGTCTTGCATTACCTCTACGTTGAAAAAACCCAAGAATCAAAATTCGCCAAAGTTGTGATCATAGAGCTGAATCATGGATTGATGAGTTTTTCTAAAATGGTTAGAGGCATAACACTGCCTCCTAGTGGCTTTTCCTTCCCATTCTCACACTCCTATTTAAAAATGTGCTTAAATGATTGGCCTCTTCAGGGTTTTCCAAAGTCAACACTGATCCCGAAAACTCGATGAGACTATCTGAATGGTTGTCCTTATTGTACCCTACGACTATTATTAAGTGTTGCACCTTATGATTCTTGACTCTTTGACGAATGTATCTTTTCTTTTGTGTATACTGAGAGTATTTGCACCAAGACAAATTCCTTGTGTGTCCAATCACACTTGGCCAATAAAGTATTCTATTCTATTCATTCATAGTAATACTCAGTAGTATGTACAGCATTATTTTCATATAATATGGGCCACCATTAATATATTATGTGTCAGTATTTTTATATATATATTGTAAATAGTGATGTCTATTGCTGATCTAAGACCGTAATAAAGTTCTGTTCTGTTCTGTTCTATTCTGTTCTGTTCTGTTCTGTTCTATTCTATTCTATTCTATTCTATTCATGTGATATGGGATCAATGAACTGTCTGAAATTTCATGAAGGGGTTGATGGGTTGAACAGCTTGGGGAATCCCTGCCTTAATCCCTTCTGGTAACATTACACTTTCTTTTAGTCCTCAAGGCGACTAGGAGATTTCCTACACCTCAAATGCTCCTAACCAGGACCCGATTATTACCTTGCAGTGAAGCTTCTAGGAACAAGTGAGAATATTTCTCCATGATGGCTTTGAACTTAGTGACAGATGTGATGGGCCAGCCTTTGTGGAGGTCACCCGCACTGACAGAGGCGAAGAGGTAATAGTCAATGTAGTGTGCCGGGGTTGGCAGACACAGGTTCCAATTGAAGCTCTCCAGGAGCAACAGTTCCATCTTCAGTAGGTCTTTTTTCGTAAGCATTAGATTAAGGCTGCACATGTAAGCAAAGTTGTTCAGCAGCTCTAGTTTGGGCACCTTATCCTCCTTCTCTTCAAATTTGCCTAAGGAAAGATGAACACAAGGAGATTGATTCAAGGCCCATATCCATCTTATACCATCATACTATATGTTTAAGCCATCTGTAGATTCATTAGTCCTCGTGGATACAAGAGGCCGATAATTTTTTTTTTCTGCTATAAAAACAAACCACAGTTCCATCATGTCTGAATTTGTGGATATAAGATGGATCTGAGACCACGTTCTACCTTTTCTCTTTAGACAAATCCCAGTTTCAAATTCAAGCATTGTGGGTAATTGAAGCATGAAAGGGGAGGGATTTTTTTTTTTTGCAGCATGATTTTTTTAATGCTAGCTAAACACAACCAATATAAAGGCTCAATGATGTTGCATTCTTTCTTAATTGTGCAGGAATTTGGAAATATTTACTCTAAAATATTGCAACATTAATAGCTACTGCATAAATTTAGCCTTTCTTTCTTTGAAACATTGAAGTTAAAAATAAATACACTGTAAGGTTTGCCTGATAATTTCCAAACTTTGCAATGTATAAAAATCAAAGCAATCAAGCATAAAAATACGGGGTGGAGAGAGAGAAAATTTAATAGCAAAGCATCTGCATCCATCCTCAAAAGAGCTCCAGGGGAAAAAAAAGGGGGTGACAGTAAAAACCTTGTTGCTAGGTGAGAAATTTGTTAAGTTTTGCCCCATTTTACGACTTTTGTTGCTACCTTTGTTAAGTGAATGACTGCAGTGGTTAAATTAGTAACACAGTTGTTAAGTGAATCTGATTTCTCTATTAAATGCTTGTCAGAAGGTTGCAAAAGGGAATCACAAGACTCTAGGACACTGCAACTGTCATAAATGTGAATCAGTTGTCAATCATTTGAATATAAATCATGTGGCCATGGGGATGCTACAGTGGTCATAAATGTGAAAAATGGTCACAAGTCACTTTTTTCAGTGCTGTTGTAACTTCAGTCACTAAGTGAACTGTTGTAAGTTGAGCACTACCTGTATTAGAACTGCTCTGCAAACAATCACTAGATGGGAACAAAGATTTAGCATTTTTGGACCTCTTTGCTATTATCTAATAGATGCACAGATACTTGGAGCCCAGATCTGGCAACTCTAGATAATTGGCCATGGCTTCTAATCTTCCAGTTGTTCCTTTTTGTTGTAGAGTCCCCCAAAAGCACGTCATCCAGGTTTCAGAATTATCTAATGAGCTAATAATAATACAGATGAAAATATCCCATTTCCATATTCAGAACAGTAGGCGACAGCCAAAGAGTTTTGTCTTAAAGTCCAGAGTACACCACAGCTTGTACATTCCCAACAAGCCAGAATTCTGGTTTCTCAAAAAATGAATCAGAGTCTCACTAGAGGATTACTGATACTATAGAAGTATGAATGTCAAAAATTCTGGTCCTGTTCTATATTAATAAAAAATTAGAAAAGTGTTTTTTCCTTCTTCTTCCTTAAGTTTCACGCATTTGCAATCAGCATTTTTCTAGCTTGTGGGGGGTCAAAATCAACATGTAAAAAATGTTGTATGGGAGCAGAGAACAAAGGGCGGACAATGAATACTAGAAGACACACTGATCCCTTCGCTTGTGTTTGTTGTTTTATTAGCTGTTGCTTATCTCCACCTTTTCAGATTGGTCTTTTGAAATCTAACTGCACCAATAACTATAGGCAACACTCTCCTTAAAAAAGCCTGCTCAAAATGGTTTTGTGTGCATTTCATTTGTTTAGGACCATGACAGCTTTCCAACAAGGAATTAACAACCTGAAAAAAAAATCTGTTACAACCTTGAAATATGTTTGCTTAGACAATCTGTTAAAATGTCTGCACTACCTCTAAAGACTTATAAGGATGCGTTACAGAGTTAGACAGGCCATGGGGAAGCAGGTGGTGGCTGAACTACAATTCACAGCAGCACCAGACAGGATGGTCAATGGTTAACAAGTCTGGGAGATTTTTAGCCACAAATACAAGGGTAGCTTAACTTCTACTTTAGGTCTTCCAGTATCATAGCAATATAGTGGGTAAAAACAGCTTTCATGTCATTACAAGACTATCTAAAGGCCACCACACCGAATACATAACATTCTTTAGTGTAGTTCTGGTTGTTCTGGACTGTACAGGTAGTCCTTGACTTATGACTACAATTGAGCCCAAAATTTCTATCGCTAAGCAAGACAGCTGAATTTTGCCCCATTTTACCTCTCGTGCAACAGTTAAGTGAATCACTGCACTTGTTAGTAACAAGGCTATTAAATGAATCTGGTTCCCCATTGACTTTGCATGTTAGAAGATTTGCAAAATGTGATTGATCACATGACCCCAGGAAACTACAACCGTCATAAATACATGCCATTTGCCAAGCACCCCTACTCTGATCATGGGAATGCTGCAATGGTTATAGTATGAACACTGGTCTTAAGGACTACCTGTAATTTGAACAATCATTCTGTGCTACAAGAAACTGAAGACATCACTAAAAAATCCAAGCCAAAGATTACTGAAATGCTGTCTTAAAAGCAACCATCTCTTGATGCATTATACTGCACGATTTATAGTGGCTTTCTCCGTGCATTTACTTGAGAAAGACCCCACCCAAATCTTACTGCATGATTTCTCTACCATTAGGTAAGGTGACTTACTTGCAAGGAGAAGACATGCAATTGAGACAACATATAACTGCTTCACAGTAACATCATAGCGATCCATAAAAATGTCCAGCAAGTAAACAGCAAGGTGCCGAGCCATGGGACAAAGTTGGCAATGGCTGCTGAGGACAGTAAGGAGGTGAGCAAAATAGCGTCGTCTTTCGATTTGCGGAGAATGGGCCTTGTAGACAGGCAGTTTCAGCTCCTATGGCAACACAAACAAGGAGGCGGGGAAGAAAAGGGGAATAGCCATTTCAGTAAAGAGAACATCCAGATTAACATTGCACCACCTGTTCTGGCAAGTTGATAACAATGACAGGAATACAAAATAGTCCCATCCACCCTTCTGTCCAGATAATTAGGAATTGAAAAACAATTAAATTTATAACAAATTGTCCATATTCTAAGAAATAAGAAACTTGTGTATGGAGATCTTTAAAAAAAACCAAAACCCAACAACTGTTACGTTGTATATTATGCTAAATACTTAAAATCACATTTCTGACAAAGAAGCATTATTTACAAAATAGCATGTTAACAGCGGCATTTGATAATCCTGACTTATGAAAACCAGACTCTGGACTAGTTTTTTTTTTTCCAGCTGAGGTTCTACGAGAGATCATGATAGACAAAAACAAACAAACAAACATTGTTTTTCGAACTATAGCTGATAAAGGTGGGAATTTTCAAATAATACTACTTGGTGGTGGGCCTGCTCCTTTCCTGTTATTGTAAAGGTCATAAAAGTGGTAGAAATTACTTGATTGTGAGGTTTTTATATTTTTAGGCAGGCGTTCTCCTAAGACCTGAAAATTATGGTTCCTCCAATGGTTCCCCCAACATTAAAAAAAAAACATGAGAAAGACTGCTACCAACTAAGGAGATCGTCCTGACCTTGTTACTATAAAATCTTCACAAAAGAATACTCTTCTATATATTTGAAGACAGAGGTGAAGGCAAAGTTGATGTAGAATTCAACTTAAAACAAGCAATATCCTAGGTCGTGCTTTTTATTCTTATATTCAATTGGTTAGACAAATGATGCATAAGAATTTATCTATACCAACTGAATATAAAAACAAAAAGCACAACCTCCTAGGATGTTGCTTGTTTTAAATGAATTCCACATCACTTTTGTGGAATTCAAGCAGAAGCAAAGTCAGAATAGAAAGCAGTTTTGCATTAACAGTACTCTTGACAATGCAACTTCTACCTTTAAATTTAGGTGCATTTGCTTCAATAATTCAATGCCCAAGAGCAAAAGAATGGATTAAGTAAATGTAATTGACTTGTCTACATTTTTCAAGCGGGAACATGAGCCTGGAAGGTGTCTGTGAACGTATGTGGTTTAATCTCCCTCAAAAGACAAGCTTGATGAAAATTTTCTCCAACCTTTCCAATTAACAGGACAGAGAAAGGGTTAGATATTCATCCAGATCACAAATAATTCAGTTTCTAGAACCAGTGCATGCTGTAATGGCCATTGTTTATGCTGGAAGAACTAGCTGCGCTCAAGCAGCTAATTTTGCCAATGAACAGTGCAGCCCAAAGCCATGCCATTAGCATTCTGATCAAAGAAGACAACTGGATGAAACTTTATTGCCTCTTCCCAACTTTCACTCTAAGTTTGTGGGAGGCATGGACAACATAACAGAAGCAGAGGACTCCCTGATAGCTCTTCAGTGGCACTGCCATCAAAATGGAACAAAACAATTTAATGCCTTTGAGAAATTCTATATATTAGTTCAGTTTTGCCATAACATGTTATTGATACTAAATCCTGAAATTTAAAATCCAGGTCCAGATATGCTCTACTCACTTTGTTCATTTTTTTTAACATGGGCTAAAATGGTGAAGTTACCCTGTTTGTAAAGACTTGATAAAACCTCTTAAAGAAAAGGATCACAAGTAAATATTTATACCATGGTAAAGAAGACCTGATTTCCCCAGGTCAATATGCTCAATTATCTACTGGGATGTACCAGATGCACTTATAAACAGGATTAGATGCTCCCACAAGTCTTTGTTCAAGAAGCATGGAATGTGTTGAAAGGAATCAACACATTCCTTTCAAAGATAGAGTATTTTGCAGTTTCTGACTTGGCTGGAAAATAAAACTGGATACAAATTCACAGAAAACTACATCATATTTAGCAGGCAGGCAAGCAGGTATTCTATAATGCCTATTCTATACTTCAAAAGCTACTTTTATCTATCATCAAGGGAGCAGAACTTAAGGACAATGAAGTTCATTGCTTTGATCTTTTGAAATACCAATCACATAGATGTGATATACAGTGCTACCAGACACAGAGAAGACACTTCATTTTTTTAAAAGTAGCACTAACACAGAAATATAAGTACAATTTAATTACTGACTGGTTTAGCATACACCACAAAGAATCACAGAGAGTTGAAAACCATCTCGGAGATAATCTAATCATTTCCACAGTTCAGTACAGCAGTGGTCCCCAACCTTTTTTGTACCAGGCACCAGTTTCAAGCAGAAACACTTTTTCAAGGACCGGCGGGGGGGGGGGGGGTTTGTATTTTCCATTCCCAAAACTTTATGTTTACCCTACAACTAGCATTAAAGACACCTGACTGCAGTCTCTCTAGTTCTAGGTCTTGCCCAGCTGTGTAGCTACAAAATTTCATGCAGATGTTTCTCTTATCTCTGTTTGGTGAAAACAGGAATTTAATGAGGAGCATTTAGTCAGTGTGTTTTCCCTAGGAAGCTCCTGTAGTCCTTGTTTAGGGATCATTCAGAGCTACGATGGACCTCTAACATCCAGCCCAGGAAGAAACCGCTTCAAAGAAGCCGGGGTGGTGGGGGTGGGGTGGTGGCTTTCCCTGTCGCCGCACCTCCTCCGAAGTGCCCGTTCACCCCCACCCCGCCCGCCCGCGTGCGGTTCAATCCAGTGCTCCATTCTGCCTGCCTGCCTGCCTGCCTTCGTTTCTGGTTGTTTGGGAGCAGCTTCGGCTGATAAAAAGAGGCGAATAGTTATTATTCTCAGCCGAAGCTGTTCCCAAACAACCAGAAACGAAGGCAGGCAGGCAGGCAGAACGGAGCACTGGATTGAACCGCGCGTGGGCGGGGTGGGGGTGAACGGGCGCTTTGGAGGAGTTGCGGCGACAGGAAAAGCAACCCCCCCCCGGCTTCTTTGAAGCAGTTTCTTCCTGGGCTGGTGGAGGAGCGAGAGAGCGACTGAGAGGAACGAGGCAGGAGGAAACCAAAGCCGCTGAGCCGGAGAGCAGGACAGGCTTTGGTTGCTTCCTCCCTCCCCTTCTTTCATTTGTGTCCTTGATCCCTGATCCCAGCAGCATTCACCGAAGGCGAAGAAAGCTGCCATTTTTTTTATTTTATTTTCTTTGCGGCCCGGTACAGAGTGCTCCACGGACCGGGACCGGTCCGCGGCCCGGTGGTTGGGGACCCCTGCAGTACAGGATCCACTGTAACAGATGACCATGCAAGCCTGTCTGAAGACCTCAAGGGAAGCAGACCTCACAACTTTATTTGTCAGCCTGTTCCCCAAGAGCTTGTAGAGTTCAAAGTTTCTCCTTAATGTCTAGCCTGAATTTGCTTTCTCTAATTTTAATAAACTACACTGCAGTTTTAATCCTGACTTTTTCAATAACAAAAGAAACATCTACTCATTCATCTAAGTGACAGCTTTTGGATCTCTGTTATTTCTTCTCTAACATTACTCATAGGGTAACCCTTCACCTTTTGCTCCATTTTTCCCCTGTTGTTTTTAAGCTGCAGTGTGTAGAACAGGACACACTACTCCACATGAAATCTGATCAGGCACTATAAAGTTGGAAAAATTACTTCCCCCAATATGCTTTTTAGGCTGGCTAATGTACCCCACAACACCATTTTAATTTGCAGCACACTATTGGTTCATGTTTAATTACTTTTCACGGGTTCTACTGCCAAGTCAGATCTCCATCATCCTATACTTGTGTCTTTTTCCTACCTGGTATAGAACATATTGTTAAATTCCATCGATTTCATTTTAACACACAGTTCAAGCTTGTCTGGAGTTTCTGGAATTTCCTCTCATTCAACATCAGACACACCTTGCAGTTTGGTGCAGTTTATAAATGTTCCATCAGTTCACCATCTATTCTAAACCATTGATAAAAATGCTACATGACATAGACATCAGTACAGAGCCATGGATACTCCCTTGGATATTTTCTTCTAAGGTGAAAAACAGCTACTAATGACTACTTTTCGATGCTGTCACTTGACAATCCAAATAAAGATGTATTGATTTAAAAAGTTTATATGGTCACAATAGTGATAAGAATATACATAAAAACAGTAAAAACCAACACCCTCCCAAATAACTCTCAGAGGAGCAAAATAATACTTCCCCATATGCTAACGTTCATAAATACTGAGCTCCAGCCTCAGCCTATATTAATGCCAGCGTATATATTCTTAAGACCTTCTGGAAAGCTGAGATGCTGGGGTCCTGCTGTACGAGGCACAGCAGAACCCGGGAGCAGTGTGAAAAGAGGAATCAGCCTAAAATCCCTACATAGCCACAAGCAAACTAGGTCTGACTCTCCTTGAGTGCTGTTGACCCTTATCTAACTCTAACCCGATGCTGATCTTTAGTTAAGAAAAATCATGTGCATATGCTTCTAGCGCTAAATCAGCTTAATTGAATGTGTAGACCTGATCTTTCACTCCAACACCTGCCAGACCAGGGTACCCCTAATTTTTAATCCTATATTAGAGAGAGTAGGTATCATATACATCTTCTTGATTGCTGAAAATGTTTTATATTAACTGGAAGGTGTATGGTTAATATCCAACAATAAGACATCATGTGTTCAGTTAAACACTAAAAGGAAAATGTTTCATTAGATATTAGAACAGAAGGAAAAAAACCAGCTTTGAAACCATCTGAGCTGCAGTATGTTTGAATCTATGCAAACAGGTAACACCTGCAACCAGCCTATAGAAATGTCTAGCCAATAGGCTGCTTCTGCCTAGGTAGTGTTAATTTTCCCAATTAGATCAGATCTCCCCACTCACTAGACATAAATGGGAGGAGCAATCATAACGCTAATCCTTCAACACTGTTATCAGTGTTAACAACTGTCTTTCAGGCTTTGAGAAAACATAGTTTTATCTTTCATCAATCAGGCACTGAAAAGCCAAGGAGAATATTTGGGCTGGGAGATGGGGAGTGGGAGAAGAAATCTGTTTCTTCTACCTAGCACTCTCCAGAGGTGTCCAACTCCACAGAGGTACACAATCAGCTTTATACTAAGATTTCTACTTGTTTTGATGTGATGTACCAGACTTCAAATACTGGACTTAGTAAAAAATAAATTTGGTCTCAGTTTAAATTCAAATACAGTTGATGTTACTTTCTATGAATATTCTTCTTCTATCTCATGACAAATTACAATTTGGTGTCAGTCTTTCTGGGGGAAACATAGCTCTGGGGCCATTCTAGAGTATGTATATCTCTGTCCTAGGAAATTATGAAAACTGGACAGCTCTGGACACTATGAGCACATTCACAACCACAAGTCCTTGAAGTATATCAAAAAGGGTATGGGACATAAAAATAATGCAAATGGATCTTAGCAGCACCATTGGTGTAGTGGAATTCTTTAGTATCTTCACAGGCGGATATACTGTAAATAAATAAAATTTCAGGCTAAGATCTACCAGAGATCACTAATTCATGATATTTTTCTGTATACACATGGAAAGTATTAGGAAAACTCTCCTATTGCAAAATCCTCTTCATTAGCTGTTAATTTATTGTGGTTTATAGCTAATAAGGAAAAAAGACATTTCAAGAATGAAATGGTTCTTTGAAAATAATCTGGTATCCTCTAGTCGGGGAGAAATAATTTAAAAGAAAATTAAATGGCCTGCTCAAAGAGACAGAAGACAACATTAGCATATATCAAAGTAAATATTTAGAGAAATAAAACCTCTTAGGAGATTCTAAGCATTGACTGTTTCTTATTGCAAGTCACATTATGTTACTGAATAATTCAAATTAGGAAAGAGATGTTCTTTCATATGTTCAAAGCAGATCAAACTCATGCTTACTTTTTTCTGCATGTTTCTTTGAAAAAGCATGAGCATATGCAATACTGGCAACACAATGAACAATGGGATATCCAAATCAAAAGAAGCTGAAAAATGTGCAACCTATGGCCATGTGTGCTTTCGAAAACACACCTGTCACACAGTTCACTCATCTTAATTGAGAAACATAAACCAGTTTGTTTTTCATGCGGTGTGCTGAAAAACACAGCTAGATTAAAAAAAATTCCAAAAGGTCTTTTTCTCATGAAATATTGGCAATAAAAGGTTATCCCAACTAGTAGGTTATTTAACAGACATAAATCTGAATATTCCTTGAGTGCAAATTTCCATACCAAAGCCATAATGGTTAAAAACCACCAGAGAATTATTCAGAGCTAAAAGACATCTGCTATGCAGTATCAGGAACTCTTCTCATGAATCTTTACAATTGTAGGAGATATGTAATGGACCAATAGTCATCTTTCATTCAGTGGATTCCATTGCAGGTTTGAGAAGTAAATCCAACTGTGTTAAGAGAAGATTGCTGACTCTAGGTCTAAAACTATAGTAGCTTGAGTAAGGACCACCTTTCTTTGTTTGATGGATCAACTCAGGAATAACCAAGCCAAGGATCAACAAGATTTGGCACCAAGTAACCATGCTTATGTTGTAGCCTAATTGGTTTTGTTGTAGATGTACCAGCGTTCACATATACTCCTGGGGCTTCAAAATTGGCTCCTGAATCAGTGCGAAGAATGTATCCCTGCACTTATACCACATCTCTATATAGATTTTTAAAAATATTTTCCCCTCAGAGAGTATATTTCAAGATAAAACTGTCAAAATTATTAAATAATCATCTGTTCATGTGTTTAGATATATTACAGTGATTGCCATTCAGGCACTTTGCAACTGGTGTGAATTTAGAATAGTTGGTCACAGAATCACAATTTGCCTGTTTCCCAATTAGCTCCAGAAAACCAGAGTTAATGGAGAACACAGAAGTAAAATCACAAGTCATGGTCACTTGATGTCTCCCTTAATGACTAGTGTGAATCACCTAATGACAATAAGTGACAGGAGGCCTATCACAGTCACACAATTTTCTGCTTAGCAACCAAGTTACTGGTTCTAATTATGGTTAAGAGTACTAAGTCTATTATTTTCCCATGGAAAGTGATTCTTTCCATATTTACTCAGAAGAAAACATAAATGTGCTTAAATAGAGCATTCATCCATATATCCCCTAGTTGAAGAAGGTAAGATGGGTGGCCTTGTTAGATAAATAAAACCCCAGATGTATGCTTATCACACTATTTGAAATAATTATACTAGCATCTTCAAGGTGCATGGATGTCATAGTAATGGCAATTATATAACTGCTGTGGAGTTTTGTCAAAGGAAGAAGCACAGCTCTGAAGAGCCATATCTACTGCAATTATGCTGGGTGTGTGCTTGAAAGAGGAACCCTGAACAACAGACAAAATTTTCAAAGATTTTAATGGTAATTGAGTGATACAAGACAGGAAACCCTGGGGATGTGATTGGTTGGCCTTTGGGGAAGTTGCCCAGGTCTTTGCACTGTCCTTGGAGTTAGTTCTATTGTTAGGCAAATAGGCTTTCAGGAGGTAGGGAGGGTCAACTTAGCTATGATGGGATTAGGCAAAGAGAGGAACTGGGTTTGACTTTGGCTATATTTGAAAGGGGGAAGGGGAGGAGGGCAGTCTCCATTTTATCAGGTTTGGTTTTTTCCATTACATAACTTGTTTTACACCTTACTTCTGTCACCAAGTTTGTGGTTCAACTACATCCATGGCAGATCCAGCCAGCCGGATTGCAGCTGAAAAATGTGTAGAACTGCACTGATAGAGAGATGCAAGGCCTGATATCACTGTGATGTGAGGACAGGGGAAGGTAATACAACAGACATAAATGGACTTGCATCACCCTTCTTCAGCCTCAGCCTCTCCCTTGCCTCTCTCTGTCAAGGTCATCATCTTCCTTAATACATAAAGTACATATGTTTAATAACAATTTATTACCTATCTGTTCCAAATAGATCTTTCCTAAGTAAAGTAATTGCCATGTATGTTCGGCTCTCAGTTACTTCAAATCTGAAACCTTAGTTTAATTTCAGTCATTTAAAAAAAAACACCTTCCAGTTGCTTGAGTCTTTCTTATTTGGAAGTTACTTTGGAAGGACAACTAAACAGCCGGTTGTACCTGTTTTGAATTGTAGCAACAGTAAAAAAGAGAGGAGGGGGGAAAAAAGGAAGCAGCTGTCTAAACTAACCTTCAGTCTTAGTGTCTGATGAACATCAGCTGCAAGGTCTCCTTTCCACCATGGCTGTTCCATCCTTGGACTTCTCATCCAAGGAAAAGTGTCCTCTAGTGAAACAGACAGCCCCTGCAAGGTAGGCAGAAATCAAAAAGTAAATTAACAAATGAAACATGGACACATTTAAACTTCACCCACTGTTTTTCAACAATCCCACCTACTCCTTTGTAAAAAAAAAAAAAAAGGAGCCTAAAAACATATTGCAGTGTAAAATTAGGGATATGTAGGTGCAGCTTAACAAGATACCGTTGATGGCTGCAAATTTAACTATATAATTCCGCTCCCCCAGCATGGAAATAATTCAGTCCATTAAAGTTCTCTACACCTGGATGCCCCTTTCAGAGTTGAATCTGTGCAAAAGAGTTCAAGCCGTCTTGGCCAACATCAAGTCATCTTCTCAGCACAACCCCTGTAGCTCTGTTCTTGCTCAAAACAAGAGCAAAGAAGAGGTATTGATTGCAATCCAAGTCATTATTGATCTCCGACTCACGCCCACCTTTCTTTCGGCTTGTGGTGGGGAAACGGCACCGACTTCCCGGCGGCCCGGCTTTTTTTTTTTTTGCACAAAACCCAATACCCGACTACAAACGGCGAGTTTCAGATCCAACTCGCTTCCTCCCCCCCCCCCCCCCCCCAATCTGCTTTGAGATCGCCGAGAATCAAGACAGCATTTTCCCCGGGCTGATTTCAATCTCCCTCCTCCTCTTTTTACAAGTGTCACGAAACTTTTTAGAAGTCCGCGGACTGAAACTTCTGACAAGCTGCCCAGAAACCCCGTGTTAAGCGTTACCTTTGCCGATTGCCCGCAAAGCGACAGCCTTTGTCCTTTTCCTGACTCCGACGACTTCTTGCAAGGAAAAAAATCCTAGAGCCCCGAGAAAGGGAAGGGAGAATCAAACTGCACCCCTGTCCGCCCCCCTTTGCTAATCCCAGCAGGGAAGGTCAGCAATTGGTTGCATGACCCAAAGGTGCAAGGCGGAGGGAAAGAGGATGTCTCCCCGCCCCCAGACCACCTCGCGCCCCAAATCTCGCCTCCGCCTTGAAGAAACGACCTAATTTATTGGAGAGGTTACATACACACCGGCTTTCTACATTACGCACGCGCACACCTACCGCCCACTGGGCTTCTGGACGTTGTAGTCCTTCCCCGCTTCCTCTGCCTACACTTTCCACCTCTGTTTATTGCTGGGCTTTGGGCGAGCGCTGGATTGGCTCGCGGTCTGCGCGCCCAAGGGGCTCATTTGTTCGCGGATGCTTGTTTCATATGTACCTTGAAGCCGCCTGGGCGGTTCTGTTGCTGCATTTCAGCCCATTTTTGGCGCCATTCTCCATTTCTAAGGGATTTAAGATAGAGCGTTATCAAAATATGGGGTTCTGCCCGCTTGAGCTTGAATAAGAATAATGGCTCCTGCCCCTCTCAGCTGCTATTCATTGAGTCGTGGTAATGGAATTATATCTCTTAACTACAGGGGATGCTTGCTCAGTTTCGTTATCCCCACCCTAAGTTTTGCCTTTGCTTTGATCAGCCCTGCTTTGACATTTCATCGCATAGCATTGCTTTTGACGCCCCTTTATCTTAACAGGTGTGACAGCACTCGGGATATTAAATTAATATGGATTTGCAATATGCACGTTTACTGAAACAAACTGCTATGATAAAGGATTTTTATGAGAAATGATCTGGCCAATTAACATGAATTGTGTAAACTGGAGCAAAGTGCTCTTAAAAATTCCTGAATATGGACAAACTCGTGGAAACTTCATAAAATTTAGCCTGAAAAAATTAGCAGTTATTCCCAAAGTGCTTTATTGTTGCTTTCCTCACATTAATTGTGAGCAGCAAATCACTACTATTTTCCTTTAGAGAGTATTTGGAAACCACCTGAGAGATGCAGTGCTTGTATTGTTGGTTTGATGCTGCATTGTTACAGCATTTTGTTTTTAAGGACAGAAATTTGAGGGGCAACTGAATTACTAGGCAAGTGTGCTCTGCAGGAAGATAAATTTATAAAAGCTCATCCTATTAAATTCTTGCTAATTGCCGAAGCTGGTGGCATCCAGTGTTTAAAGAGAATAAAGGCAATCTAGGGCATATCTCATTGTTAATTTTCTTTGGTTCCAGACAGTGGCCTTAGCAGGTGACACTTGGAAATTCCTAGGTTGTAGGGTAGATCAAACAGTAGGAAAAAAATCTGTCAAAATAACTTTAGACTTTTGTCAAGAGAACAAGTCAAACTCAACTCAAGGGAATAGTCACTTTTTAAACAAACCTGAAGTTTGACTTCACACAGTGCATCTTAGGAATTATAGTTTAATGAGCAATCAATCAGAATAGAGCTGGAAGGGACCTTGGAGGTCTTCTAGTCCAACCCCCTCCCCCCCTCAAGCAGGAGACCCAGATTGTTAACTTGCTAACAGAGCTTTGATCCACACTCCCCCCAGAAACAGTGCCAGATTGTAGGAGGTTACTGATATTAAATGCAGGGAACACAGGGATGATCTTGGAGAAACTGCTTGGATCCATTTAAAAACATTATTTTACTGTAGGTAGGACAATTAGAAACAAACTCATACTACTTCTGCCTTAACTGCCTTGAGTTAAGGAGGAGGAGGGTAGAGAAAACACAGGGTTTCAAGATTCTTGTTACTATAGCTAATATAAGAGTTGTGATCATTCTTGTGGAATCTGTTTTCTGACTTGGCTTCTCTTTTTTTTAAAAAAAAATTTTTTTATTGGTTTTTAAAACAAACATAAACAAACAAAACATAAAAACATCAAGCCATCTTGAAGGACTGCAGAAACATGCTTAACATCCGGGCAATTTGCAATACTGAGTGCTTAGATGTACAGTGATACTCAATATGGTCATTCATGTCAATGTTGACTCCTGGTGACTGCAGTTTTCTTGGCAAAGTTTTTTGGGAATGCCCTCGTCTACTTACTAGAGCCAAGAGAAAGTGACTAGCCCAAAATCACCCAGCTGGCTGGTGCCTAAGGTGGGATTTGAACTTTTAGTGTCTCACTTTCTATAGCCTAGTCACTAGACTAGTGCCTTACACCAAACTAGCTTTCAATATCACCAACAGCAAATTCTTAGATATTGAGTTTTAAGGATTTATCTCAGTCTAATGCCAATATAGTAAATTATTCAGACTTAAGGTGTTGGTATCTTATTGCAGATAACCAACTTGGAATGTACAAGGGATGGGAAATACTTACTGAAGTTGAGGTCTACAAATTTGACTGAGAAAAATTGTTATAGTTAATACTGCTTGAGGCTTTTTCTCACCATTGAGTGCTATTTCTACCATCCTTGAATCTGCAGTAAACTATACTGACAAGAACCTGGCTACTGTTGATTTGTATATATCAATTGCTTCTTTTCTCAGTCATTATCCAGTCATTTGACTTCCCTACAGGATGAGTGCAAAAGCTTAGCAATTTTATACACCATGAAACTGCTGCTGAATGATATTGAAATAGATAATGTTTCTTTGAAGGATGCTTTCTTATGGTCTAGGGACAGG